CCCTCCCTCCCTCCCGCCGGCCGTCATGTTTGTCCTGGTCGAGATGACTGACACCGTGAGAATTCCGCCCTGGCAGTTTGAACGGAAACTGAACGAATCCATTGCTGAAGAGCTAAACAAGAAATTGGCCAATAAGGTAACGCACGGGTCCCGCACAGGGGGATGGATGTCACGCGTCCCCGCGCGGCGCTGCCTTTCGCTGCTGCCTCAGGAGGGGCGTGGGGGAGGTGTCGGGATGGGAGAGATGGGAACACCATCCCCAGCCACTGTAAACGAAGACACAGCCACGTATCACCTCAAAGGGGACTTCTTTCTCCTGGCTGATGCTGTCATGGCAAGATACTGAGACGCCACGTGGGGCAGAGAAGCGTGGAAGAGAAGCGAGAGCAGCTCCTGGTCTGTGTGTGTAGAGGAGCAATCCACAGTGCAGCCTGGAAAACAGAGGCCAACTAATCCAGCCAGTGGACTAGTAAATCTGTAAAACTGTAAACTGTAAAAAAAGACTATATAAATACATGTAGAACAGTAATACCGGAAGAGAAATGAAGGAATTAGTACCTGATTTGGTCTGTGCTTAGCAATTGAAATCCAGTGTGGCAGTCAGAAGTTTGGTGCAGCATATAAAAAGTGTTCTGTTCTAGACCAGGAGGACATAGTTTCCTTGTGCAGCCCTAGGGCTGTGATTAGCATATGGCTTTCAACACAGGGAAAGTGCAAATCTCAAAACTCAGCTGTGAATGTGGAGGGAGCTCAAAAGAGCAACCTGAAGTGATCATGGGTTCTGAGTAGCAGATTATGCAGACAGGTTATGAAAAGCAAAAGTCTTCCCTCATCTGCTGATGACTGGTAGTTCCCTCAAATTTTGTAGGCAGTGAAGTTGTCTCAGAAGCAGCAGAGAACCAAAATTTCACTTTGTCTCTCCCCATAGCTAACACAATTTAAGACAAAGGCAAGCCTAAAGGCTTCTGAGAGTGTAACTCTAGCAGAAAGTGTGTTTAGCCTCTGGACAAGCTGTGGGGCTGGTGAGTGATGTCTGTGGGGAGCTGTTCACTACCTTGGCAGATCAAGTTCTCTCACCACTGACAGTTTCCCCAAGGGTTTCTGTTTGTATCAGTGCTCTTCCCAGTGTCAATGGAAAACATGTGCTCTCATGACAAATAAGTTTGGGGTTCCCCTGCACTGCAGTGTGGTCAGGCCTAGGGCTGTGTGTGTACCAAACCAGCCTCCTTCCCACCTTGCCACTCTTGCTGCCTTTTGAAAAGGTGTGCAGAGCGTATGAATTTGATGATTTGCTTGATTTAACCTGATGGGTTGCTCGAGTTACTGCTTTTAAATTGCTTTTTTTTCCTTTGAGCAGGTGGTGTACAATGTTGGCCTCTGCATCTGTTTGTATGACATCACGAAGCTGGAAGACTCATACATATTTCCTGGGGATGGAGCGTCACATACCAAAGGTATGTGATTGTCCTCAGCTGTCTAATTTTGCAGGAGGTTAATTAATGATCTGGAAATGTAAACTCAGTTCAGTTGTTAGGGAAAGTAACAGCACCCTGCTTGAGTGGGGAGGTGTCTTGCCCCTGGCAGGGGGCTGGGACTAGATGATCTGTAAGGTCCATTCCAACCCCTAAAGGTTCTATGATGCTGTGAAAAGTCTCTTCTCTTCTTCACATTTTTTGGGTACAAATACAGGTTCAAATAGCCAGTCCTGCTTTCCTTTTCCAGCAGCACATCTCTGTTCTACAATCAGAGCCATAGGTGTGGGGTAAGGAAGGGGTTATTTTAGCTGAAAATTGGACAGTCCACCAATTGAACAATCCACCAATTGGACATCACATAGAAAATAAGTTGTAATAATTGTTCTGCATTTTTCCAGATTTCTATTTCTTTTTGAAGCTTATTTTTCCTAGATAGAATGTTGAAACCTGTTTCTACATGTAACAAATGCACAGCATTTGATGCTCTTATCTTAGCTGGAAGTTTTACATCTTTCTTGAAACTTGGACAGATCTGGTTCAGCTTACATGTCTAGTGATTTATATTTTTTTGCCTTTAATAAGAAACGACTAATTTCTTTACTTTGACTTTTGGCAAATACGAATAAAATCTGGAAGTAAGTGCATGAAAGCAAAGTTCATACTTGTTCAAAGTTAAAATAAGTGCTTTTAAACTGGTAAGAAATGCATTTTTCTAGTTTTAGTTTTCAGTGTGGAAGCTTAGGTTAAGCAAATGAAATGTTTCCTATTAGAAGGGAACTGCACTGTCTGTATGTGGCTCCCCCTGTCTAAATTTTAACTCCAATAAAACTCACTCCTTGCAAATAAAAGCTTCTCTAATGCTGAAGGAGGATGTCAGGCTTTCCTGCTTGCTTTAATCTCTGTTCATCTTCTGAACTTTGAATTACTCCTTGAACTGAAACAAGAGAATATATTCTCTCTGAGCTTGGGGAAAAAAGTGCCTTCAGAATCTGGGGTAGCACTGGGATAAATCCTGCTGTGTCTGGTAATAACTCTGTCTTTAATGCACTGTCTGATGTTATGTAAGAGAGGAGCACTGAGTGTGAGCAGCTAAAAGATGTTAAACTGCTCATAAGCATTGTTTGGCTGAGATTGTCTTAGTATAGCATCCTTGTAATTATAAATGCCGAGTTGTTAGTTAGAAACGTTTTACCTAACCTGAAGGAAAAATCCAGTTATGTTAGAGAATCTTATTTGTTCTGATAAGATTTGATTTGAAATATTTCATTCAAAGAAAATACAGCATTGGTGACAAAGATAAAAGGAGCAGAAGCATTACAAGAAAGTGTAATTTCAATTGATGCTCTTGGCCTCGAAGCATTGTGCAGGAATGTTCCCATCGTAACTTAAGCAGAGGCTCTGGTCCCTGTTCTCCTTCTTACACTTCAGTTCTGTGAACTTCAGCTCCTGCAAGACTGAAGAGCTGAGAGCAGGACACTGCTGATCAGTTCCTGTCAGAATTCATACCAACCAGTTAGGAATCAGAACTCTCATCCCCTTTTTTTATGTCTAATCAGTGCCTGTAAATAAATCATAAAAGCAACTAAGTGTTTTAGAGGGCACGTACGGATGCGGGATTTTATTTTAATGGCTGCCACCCTGTGGAAGGAGTACAGTTTACTGACATGGACATAACCTCAATGATCTGTTTTCTTTCAAGTGCATTTCCGCTACGTGGTCTTCCATCCGTTCCTGGATGAGATTCTGATTGGACAGATTAAGAGCTGCAGTCAGGACGGCGTCCACGGTAAGCCACAGCTCCTGACATTAGGGACACGTGAGCTGCAGAGCTCTTGGCTCTGTTGAACTGCTGTGATTTCAGGTGGAATGATGCTGTCTGTAGGCTGGTTCAAGGCTATTCCTGGCTTCTTGTGCTGCTCTAACCTGAGGGTGGTGGGTAGCTCAACCCTGGCAGCTTCCCCTGCCCTTGGTGATTTTGTGTGTACTCCCCTTGCTTTTGTCAGTGATGTGCATGCCCAGGAAGAACAGGCAAATCCATCTGGAGCCTAGACTGCATTTGTTTTCTTGCTTCAGTTAACAGAACTTGGCTTTTTCAAAGTGGAACTATTGGCTTGTGTTGGTCTGATGTAGCTTCCCTATAGCTCTGTGCAAATCCACGATCGTTTCTTGTACCTGAAAACATGGCAAGGAAACGTCTTTGTGAGCACAAAGTGCTGCCAGAGTCATGGAATACATAATTGATGAGTTGCTTTCCTTTCTTGTAGGAGTCTTCCAAGCAAACAAGCTCCTCTGCTCAGTTGTTAAATTAGGACAATAAGATTACCTTGGCTGTATTTGTTGCTGAGTTTGGGCATGGTCTGTTCTCTGATAAAACTCAACCTCCTGAAATCTCAAGGGGGAGGTGGGGGCTGTTCTGTCTTTGTGTTGGTCTTTATTTAACACATTACATCTGTGATTTCTAAGCTCTTTTCTGTCACAGACCTCTATAGCATCTGACTCATTTCTTGGAACACTTTCATTTCCATTCCCACTCCAAACAACCTTTTCCTTTCCCAGCGGGCATGAAGACTGTGCCCTCTGTTGCTGTATGTACTTTCAGCTGGGTGGTTGCTTTGCTGCCAACTGAAATTGAACATTGTGTCTCAAAGAATAATTCCTGCATAATCCCAATGTCCTTCCTGAAAGAGGAAGGAGAATGAGTCTAGAAATGCATTTCAGGAATTGCTGTGGTCATTCGCAAAGGATTGTTTCAGTCTTAATCAAATTCTTTTCTCCGCAGTTTCTATTGGATTCTTTGACGATATTGTCATCCCACCAGAATCCCTGCAGCAGCCAGCTAAGTTGTATCCTTTGATCACCTTTGATAACTTTACTACTTCATTTCAAAAGATTGTGCAGTGCTGGCCCAACAGGCATTCACCACTGCAACAATGAAGGTGCTCAGCGGCAGAGGCTAAGCCCTTGTGTCGGGCAAGTCCCACAGACTGTTATCACAGCTAGACAGGCCTCACGCTCATTAGGTTTTGCAGGATCATTGTGCCTGCTGATAGGAATGAATGGCAGTGTCCCCTGAACAGCCCAGTTGTAATCCCTGCCTCTAGTCTTGGCTGCTGCTGAAGATAGAATGCAGGTTTTCCCACATCATGTAATGTCTAGATACATGGTGTGTCTGATGCACTTCAGTGTGGTAGGCAAGGTTGTCTTGGGTTTAGGGGTGTTTGCTTGTTTGGGGGTTTTTCTGTTACTGGGTGGTTTTAGGGGTGGGATAACCCCAACTCTCCCCAGCAGTGTACACCTTAAAGCAGGAAAATCAGAAAGAAGATGGGTGTTGGGCTGCACAGTCATGACCTGGGACATCACATTGTAGTTTGAGAAATAGCTGTGAGAGGGCTTTGCATCGAGTCCGTTCTCAGAACTGTCAGAGTATGATCCGTCAGGCAGAATACTGACTGTTTCCATCCTTAATCCTTGGCATGGCCAGTGATGAAGCAGAGCAGGTGTGGGTGTGGGAATATGAGACAGAAGAAGGGGCCCATGACCTTTACATGGACATTGGGGAGGAGATTCGCTTCCGAGTCATGGACGAGACGTTTGTCGATACATCACCGACAGGTCCGAGCTCTGCAGAGGCTTCCACTTCAAATGCCACAGAAGAAGTCCAGAAGAAAGAGGCACCCTACACTCTTGTGGTAACTATGTGCATTAACTCATGCAGCCTTGTGAATGTTGTGGTTTATTCAGTGTCTAACATAGCATCCCTTTCCCAAGGAACTGATGGCTCTAAGCTGACTGAAGCAGAGAGAGTCACAAAATGAAAGGGGTGGAAAAGGGGACAAATGGGATTGTTCTTGTGGTTGCTCTGTGTTTGCTGAGTGTTTTCATTGGAACACTTTGTGGTGGTTGTTGGAGTTTCCCCTGGGAGGCTGATTGAGAGCAGACTGTGGATGCAGGATGTGCGGGTAGGAGTGACCGTATGAAGAGCACAGTTCTGGGAGAAGCACATCAAGGTTTATGCAGCAGCTGAACAGTCTTTCCTTGCAGTGTTGTGGCATAAGACCCACAATGTATGAGAAGGGTGGATCTGAACCAGTGAGAGCTGTGTTCACATCTCAGAGGGGAGAGATTTTACATGCCTATGCAGTTTACAAGTGCACACTCTTCTCTTCTCTCTGTGAACAGGGATCAATCAGCGAGCCAGGCCTGGGCCTCCTGTCGTGGTGGACAAACAGTTAGCTGCCATCAGAGCCTGCTCCACAGAAAGTCTTTCCAGTGGATGTTTGGGGGATAACGGGATCCTGCTGGTGCTCATTGCTCCTCTGAAGCTGGATGAGAAATTAGACCTGCCATTGTTTGTTTCCCCTTCAGCTTCCAACCTGCCAGAGAGAGACAGTCACTTTCAAGAAATGTCTTTACTGATCGGCAGAAGTGAATTTACAGGCACAAAAAGCCTTGAGCACAGCAGCAACAAATTCAGCCGGAGCTTTTGTCTCCTGCCCTGGAGGGAAAACTGGGGAGGTCTTTACTTGTCTGAATTAAGAAGGGAGTTGACTTCAGTGAGTGGAAGCAGAAGAGAATGCCTGTCAAGGCATCCTGCTTCCTTGGGCTGAGAGCTTGAGAGAGAAACCTGCCCTTTTTTTAACAGGAAACAAAGAAGAGACAGCAAAAGACTAGAGTTAGTAGAGGTGTGGTACTCTGGAGACTTGGAAAATGCTGCTACTGGGAGAACAGTGGAGGTGGTGGTAATGTTTTCCTAAGAATGAAAACTTCACCCATGGACGAAGTCAGCCAAAAAGAACTGGAATGACAGTAGTTTACCCCAAAGTAACTGAGGCTCGGAGAAAATGACCACTGTGGAAAGCTACAGGCTGCTTATTGTGCTGAATGAAATTGCTTTATTGGGTGGGCTCCATTTATGTAGAATGAGCTAAACTTCGCAGGAGTTTGACTGAAAATATGTAATTACAAACTGAAACAGACCAAGGCTGCTTTGAGCAAGCTAAATCCTTGTTTGGTGGGGGGTATGTTAATACTATAAATGGAATAAATAGTAAAAAAACCACACAGCCTGCCTTCCTGTACAATTTGTGGGGAAACTATTAGCTTCCTGCCTAGCAGGAAGAAAACAGTTGCCTCCTGCAGTTTAGCTACTTGGATTTCAAGGCAGAGAGTGTTGAGACCAATGCTCTGCTCCACACTAACAGCCAATGACAAACAATTGCCATCACCCTCCCTGACAGCAGTACAAGGAAAGAGGGGAACAAAACAGTGAGTAAAATCTATGCAGGGCCCATTGCCAAGAGAGTGATGTTGCACATAATTACAAAGCCAGCCACGTTTGGCAGGAAGGGGCTGTAATTCCCTGGGATAGTGGGTCTGCTTAACCTCCAACTGCAAAAACAAAGCCTGAGTCACCAGCGCCCTCCCTGCAGCAGCATTAAAACCCCTCAATTCTGAACTGTTATTCCCGGTGCATTGCCCTAACTAAAAGGGAGCCTAGAATACTTTAGGCTCACATAGTAACTGAGGTCCACCCGTGCAGACAATAAGCTTACTGAATGCCACCTACAGAGCAGTAGTGCTCAGACATACAACCATCCAGCTGTGGTGGAACAAACTGCCCGCAGAAACCTCTGTTTGTGGAGGTGGGAATTTGGGTGAAACAAGTGGGGATTCCACACAGGCAGCTCTGGGGTAGTAGCAGGGCAGGAGGAAAAGTCCGGGTACCTACAAGGAGCTGTTTTACACAGCTGCCATTTCACGGGGTCAGAGCTCCCAGGAGTGTAGCGAGGTGGTAGCTGTGTGGCTGTGTGTACTGTTCTAATGAGATACTCCTCAACATCCCTCTCCTGTTGTTAAGTTGTGCTTGAAGAAACTATTTTAATGCACAGTGCTTGCCAAGCAGATAAATGAGCTGCTCTTTGCAAGTTTGTCATTTTTGCAGTAGTGGCACTGTTGCCCTGGACAGGAATATAGTGTGAAAGGTGGTGATGGTCACAAGTGTAGCCTCCAGCAGGTTAATGGCAAGGGTTAACCATGCAAAACAGCTCTGAAGGCTCTTTTTTTTAAACCATGTGAAGTTCTTGGTTTGTTGGGGTTTTTTCCTCCATCTAGCAATGACTTACTCAAAGTTATATCCCACCCTCCCAGCAACAGTGACAGGACGATAAATACAATAACACAGCAGAAGAGATGGTCACATTCTTTATTTTCGTTTTAAGTCTTTAGCCATCAGTAAAGTGAATGGGCAGAAAACAACCAACCCAGCAGACAAACCCACCTTAGCTGGTTATTTCCAAATATAAATAACTGTGGGACAACTGAGACTGAGCCAAAATAGAAAAAGGGAGCTGGGGAATTTAAAAGACAAAAGTAAGCCTAGCTGCACTCCCTTTTCATAGTGTCAGTGAAGAGGAAGTACCACAACAAAAAGGAAGCTATGGTTACATTTGATCAGACATTTATTCCAACAGTAGGCATGGAATTGCACTTTCATGAAAATGCAAAAGCTGAATCGAGTCCAGTGCACTGGGGCATTGTGCGCACTTAGCTTTATTTCTGCTGCAGCTCCTTCATTCTGTTCAGGGCACTGCCAGCCTGGAACCACTCAATCTGCGACTCATTGAAGGTGTGGTTCAGCATGATTGTTTCCTGGCTCCCATTGGGATGCTTGATGATGCATTTCAGAGGCTAAAGGAAGAAGACAGCTTTTATTTTCCCCTTCTGTTTCACAGGAGCAAGCTAACTGAAGCTTCTCACCAGAAAACTCCTACATGTTTTTAAAGGGCTGAGAAGGGAAAACTGTACCTCAAGGTAGGTCTTAACATAAAAGTGAGGTTGCAGGTCCTTCTGGGGAACCTTCATGCTTAAGTCAACAAGTCCAGGAATGTAGACTGTTGTATGAGGGCTTCTTGCAACCATTCAGCACAACACAGGCTGATCCTGACCTGCCCTCTGGCCCCCCAGACCCCTGTGCCTCGCCTGGCTGGCAGGCAGCACTGCCCATTGGTGCCAGAGCTGCCTCAGGCCCCAGGCACACAGCTTCCCCACTGTCCCTGTCAGTGGCACATCCCTGCCCCCAAGGCCAGGCCAGGACACTTGGGCAGTTACCTTTCCAGGTGCAAAGTCTGCCAGCCCCACGATGCTTAGCTTGTCCACAGGATGAATCTTGTTGTAGTCTGCTGGATCAGCGAAAGTGAGAGGCAGTAGACCTTGTTTCTTCAGATTGGTTTCTGCAGAGAACAAACCACCAATCATGCTTGTAAGATGGCACTGCAGGGAAGCAGGACTACCTTCTGGCTGCCCAGGGCTTCTCAGAGCAGTATTCCAGCACCAGTTACTATTTTTGTGGCAAAACCAGCACATGTTTGTGGCCTATCTAAGGCACTATGCAGCAGGGGCCCTGATAGGAGGGACACTGCCATCTGTCAGCAGGTAGGGCTCATGCCTGGAGATGTTGAGCCCTGGGGCAAGGTACACACACCGTGTCCACCCAAACCAAACACATCCTGTCTACACACATCACAGGGGAAGTGCAGCTCACCGTGGATCCTGGCAAAGCTCTTGGTGATGATGACCCTTCCTCCCAAGTGACGTGGCTCCAATGCTGCGTGCTCCCGGCTTGATCCCTCACCGTAGTTTTCATCCCCAATAACTGCCCATTTGACACCCATTTTCTGTGACAAAAGATATAGATTTACATTTCTGCAGCCACTCAAGTGAGGACTTAATAAGTACCCACCCACACACAATTTCAGCTCTACACTGACACCGCTGTGCTGTGACACCTGCTCCCAGAAGGCTCCCTTTGGTTCTGAGAAAGGAGAGAAACAAAGGAATTAAGGTGATTCACAGTGGATAGGCACTGCTATCCTTCACTGACAGGGCTGAGGAGGACTGCCCTTGGGACGCAGAGCAAATCCTTTCCTTCCTTTCCCTGCCACCTCTCCTTCCATGGTCCTGTGCCAGACCAGCGTTCACACCAGGCATGACCTCTGCTCTAATTCTAGAAGGGATATGGAAAATTTTAACTTCTCTCTACTGGAAGAGCCAATCTGAGAGAACTGCCAAGTTGTCCAGAGGGTAAAAGGTCATTTCTTGGGATTCTAAGCCAAGTGTTAAAAGAATAAATGGGGTAAGATTATAGTTTAAATAAACATTAAGACTAGTCACAGGTGAGACATTCCAGAAGGCAAGATTTAGTTACAGTCTGATGACACCCATACAGAGCCTAATTCTCCTCTTTTGTCTATGATTTCTGGTCCTCTCTTGAATCACAAGATCCTCCCCCCCTTCCCTTTAGCAAATAGGGACAGAATCTCCTACAGGAACTGCAATCATCAGAGTAAGTACCAAGAAAAAGCCTCAGCATTGAATGAATTCACAGCTGCTGCTATTTAAGAGCAGGAGGATGAGATCCTCATTCTTGGCACAGACTGCCCAAAGCATAAACATCCTCTTAAAATAGATGTGTCGGGGGAACATCTCACCTTGTAGTAACGGGCTGTGTCTGGGACTGGGCCAAATTCCTGGGTTAATGCATTCCTGACAGAGTTGGCTTTGCCATTTTCAATGTTGATGGCACCGATGAGGAGGTTGTTGGAGATGTTGTCCAGATGGCCACGGAACTTGAGCCACGGTCCGGCTGCAGAAATATGGTCAGTGGTGCATTTCCCTTTTACCTAAAGGGTAGTAGCAGAGAAGAATGTCTTGGGATGTAGCCATGCACTTGACCCTTCCTCAACACTTTTAATTGTGAAGGATTAATTGGGGGGAATAGTCAATACTCCAGAGGGCTGTGGAAGAACCTCAATAGGTTGAAGAGATGGGCAGAGAAGAACTGTCTGAAGTTCAACAAAGGCAAATGCAGGGTCCTGCACCTGGGGAAGAATAACTACATGCACCAGTACAGGCTGGGGGCTGACCTGCTGGAAAGCAGCTTTGCAGAGAAAGACCTGGGGGTCCTGGTGGCCAACATGCTGTCCATGAGCCAACAGTGTGCCCTTGTGGCCAAGAAGGCCAATTGTGTCCTGGGGTGCATTAGGGAGAGCATTGCCAGCAGGTCAAGGGAGGTGATCCTGTCTCTCTACTCAGCTCTCATGAGGCCACATCTGGAGCAATGTGCACAATTCTGGGCTCCTCAGTACAAGAGAGATATGGAGCTCCTGAAGCAGGTCCGGCAGAGGGCAACAAACAGGGTTAAGGGACTGGAGCATCTCTCTTACGAGGAAAGGCTGAAGGAGCTGGGTCTGGTCTGCTCAGTCTTGAGAACTGAGTGGGGACCTCATCAGTGTCTATAAGTATCTGAAGCCAGGGTGTCAAGAGGATGGAGCCAGGCTCTTCTCAGTGGTGCCAAGCAAAACGACAAGAGGTGACAGGCAGAAACTGATGCATAAAAAGTTCCACCTGAATATGAGGAACAACTTCTTTACTGTCAGGTGACTGAGCACTGGAACAGATTGCCCAGAGGTTGTGGAGTCTCTCTCCTTCACTGGAAATATTCAGGAACCATCTGGACATAATCCTGAGCCATGCACCCTAGGTGACCGACCCTGCCTTGTTCCAACCCAGACCACGTGATCCACTGTGGTCCCTACCAACCTTACCCATTCTGCGATAATCATGTCTGTTTTTAAAGGCACAAACCTAAGACAAACACATCTGTTACGGAATCAAGGCACTCTAAGGCAGAACACAAAGGTCATTCTGCATGCTTTGGGTAGGGAGAACACCCCATTCCAAAGAGTAAATTACAAAACTTAGCTTAGCCATGACACCTCCTGCCATGTCCTCACTTCCCTCAGCACCAGGTTGTTCGGTCACAAAAAGCAATTAAGCCCTTCCTACTACAGCTCAGCCTCACTGCTAGGGGACTTTTAACCAAGTGTTATCCTCTTAAGTTTCCAGACTGCACATAAGCCTTCTCAGCTTGTAAGAACAGAATTCCCAACCTGAGATAATGGCCTTCAAA